ATAGGTCTTCGTGTGAATGTTTCATTTCTCTTGGGTAGATGCCTAGTAGATTTACTATTCAGCATTTACTGAAATATTTTAAAGTAGCTATTGGGTGTTGAATTTTTTCAAATGCTTTCTCTGCATCTACCAAGATGATATATTTTCTGTTGTTTTTTAAATTAAGACTTTATTTTTTAAGAGCAGTTTCAATCAAAAGTGTGTGTCAGAATACCTAGAAAAAAACAGCAAACATTTGAAATGTTTTATTTTGACTGTCTTGTATGAGAAATATTTTTTGTTTAAAACCTAGTAGAGACTTAAGTATGACTATATTATTGAACAGATGTGTGTGTTTTGTTAGAAAAAAATCCATAAGTTAAAAAATGACTACATCTATGTAATCTTAAGTTTTGAAATGAAATAATCAACATTTTTATCTTTCACACTAATTATGGCATATGTAGTATTATACTTAAGTGATAACAATATCATTGTTCAATATCATTGAAGTCTTATTTTCTGCTTTTTGAGTAGTTAGAATCTTTATTTCCTGGATATGATTTTTATATTCATTAAGTGGTTATTACTAAAGCTTTATTAAGCCAATTATTATTAATGAAATCTTATTTTGTATAAGTATAGTCGTTCAAATTTGTTATCTAACCAATTTAATTTTTGCTAATTTCTACAATTTTTTTAAGGATGGAGAAATTATTTTACTTATATTTGGAATATGAAAGATAAATGAGTAAACAAAACCCAGGAATAGAATCATAAATACAGAGAACAAACCAGATGGTTGCCAGATATATATATATATATATATGCCATATATATAATAATAATTAAATTGTTTTTAAACTGTTAGGTTTAGTACTAGAATATTAATAGAGTAGATTCAAGTTATATAAAAATTATGCAAATATTAGATTTATAAACGAAGTAGGAAAGAAGATTTATAGGTGAATTCTTCATTGACAAACTTGTTTTATATGATGATTATTTTTGTATACTTTTATATACATTTATATTTATTACACATAGATAATACAGAAGCCCCCTAATTATGAACAGAACAGGTTCAGAAAAGCATGAGTAAATCCAGTATAATCCTTCATAAATGAATACTAATTCTTTCATTTAGTGGCGGGTAGAGTTGGAATGATTTTGGTCTGGCATATACCTTTATTCACATCTATGAAAATTTGTAAGAGGTTTGTTAAAAGAGGTACTTCTCTTTATATATATAAAGTGCTGCTTTTTTTTTTTTTTTAAATCCGTTCTTTCATGTTTTCTTTGAATATGGGTCTTACGGACCTACGCTATGGAAAAAACAAAACTCCACAGAGTATTATGTAAGAAGACACTTTCTTTTCTTCATTTCAGCCATATAAAGTTGCATCACTCCATAGGATTAGAACCTAAAGGAAAATTTTGGGTAAACAGGTAACCTTTGAAAATAATGCATGGCTTTAATTCTGTATCCTTTAGCTTACTGATTTCCCTACTAAACAATCAGCTTTCTTCCTGATGAAGTATAGAAAATGCTAGTAGTCACTAAAATCTTTTTGGATTTTCTGCAGGATTACTTTTTTGGGGTACTAAAATTATTAAGATTCTAAAATACACTAGTTAAGAGCAAATTTAGTTCAGATTGAATGCAGTTACTTTCTAAATGATTTCCATTTTATATAGGAGATCATTAAGTACATTTCTAAAAGGTATGTAGATCAAATAACTTCTCCATAGACTTACAGTATAATTTTAGAGGTTTCTTTACCGTTGGCATTACTTGAACCATTTTTTTCTTTTTTTGCTGATTAGGCTGCTCTGTATTCAAGTGATGAATACATTGTAAATAAGAGAGCACATTTAGAAAGCAAACAATAATTTGTATTTGAGAAAGCTCCCACATATGTTTTATTAATAACCTTCTGTGAGTGACAAAAAGAACAATTTGTGAGATAAAAAGTATCCATGTAGACACACAAATAGTAGTTTTTCTCAGCCATCAGAGATACTTATCTAGTTTTTACCATAAAATAAGTTACGTACATAAAATATCCAAGGTATGTACATAAAATATCCAAACAGTACCAAAGCTGTACAATAAAGTAAATTTTCTGCCTCAGATCTCATCCCTGGTTTCCCCATCAGAAATAATCACTATTTTTAGTGTTTTATATTAGCATGGATTATTTCTGGAATGATATATAAATATTCACATACCTCTTTTTATACAAATTAAAACATTTTATATACACTTCTTTCCTTTTCATTTAATATATCTGAGTTCTATGTGGAAAGAGTATTTAAAAATAATTTGTAGTTCTTTAGAGTCTTCATAATATGATAGCTTATAAAAATCATAGTTGTTTGAAGATGACAACAAAATAGAAATGTAATTTCATCCACATGGAAAATATATGATAATCATGGCTACATAGATTGCCTTTTAGGTGTATTTTTAAACACTTGTAACATCAACATCTAAGTTAACGTCCAGCTATAAAATAGTGGAGAAATCTGCATTTTGAAGTAGCTTTCAGGGATGCCTGGGTGGCTCAGTCGGTTGGGCGACTGACTTCGGCTCAGGCCACGATTTCATGGTTCATGGGTTCAAGCCCCGCATCAGGCTCTGTGCTGACAGCTCAAAGCCTGGAGCCTGCTTCGGATTCTGTGTCTCCCTCTGTCTCTGCCCTCTCCCTCTTGTGCTGCGTCTCTCTGTGTCTCTCAGAAATAAATAAACATTAAAAAAAATTTTTTTAATTAAAGTAGATTTCATTTGCTTGTCACCATAATCACTTTGCACTTTTCACCATAAAAATATACTTATGTCTAATGCATCATGATTCTTTATCCATTTTTATTTTTCCCTATTTTAATCTTTTTCAGAACAGGAATTAGGTTAGGACTGGTTATAATGTTTATAACAGAGAATGGAACTTTTAAGTCCTACTCTAGTAACTGTGCAATTAAATATTAGGAAGTACTCAGTAACCTAATAATATTCATGTCTGGTGGGTCATTTTTTATTTTACATAGTTGTAATTAAAAGGAATAATGTTTGGCTTTATAGTTGGAGTTCATTATTCCTAGGAACATTATTAACCTGCTCTACATAATTATTTTGTTTGTTTGTAGTGAGATGATACAGGATTTAGAACCAGACTAACCTGGATTCAAATTCTGTCTAGACCTCCAGTATTAGCTCCCTGTTAATGGGCTCCCTCTCTAAATCTTAATTTCTTTATTAATACAGCAGTAATAATACTACCAGTAAGATGCTGCAATCAGCATTCTTGTATGAATAAATCTTGTTTGAATAAAGACATTGCTATGGACAGAGATATTTACCGGCCAAAAGGCATATACAGTTTAAATTTTGGTAGTTGCTGTGATATCACTCTAAAAGGACTATCCTAATTTATTTTTTAAAAATTAAAGTTTATTTATTTTTAGTAATCTCTATACCCAACATGGGGCTAACACTCATGACCCCAAGATCAAGAGTCACATGCTTTTCCCACTGAGCCAGCCAAGTCCCCCAGGACTATCTCAATTTCTGTGTCACTAACTGTGTCATTAACATGGTATGACACTGTCATGTACCCTCTACAAAACTGAAATTTTCTAATCTTCAATTTTTGCCATTCTTATACCTATTTTTAAATGTCAGCCACCTTCAAGTCTCTTTGACCTCTGTATCAAATCTGGTAGTATCTTAGACTTTGGAAAAATATAGAGTAGCCCAGGTAACCTATTATTTAAATTCTCCTCTTAATAGCTATTCCTATTTTTATGTAGGCTGTGTATTTGTTAGTGTGTGCCATTTATGAAATGGAGATTTTGTGAGCCAAGGTCATTATACATGTACATACATACACTCATATATACATGCATACATATACATAAATTTATATCCATTTTTAGCAGATTATAATTTCCATTAATCAGAATATCCATGGCTTCTCATTAGTTTGTGGCATGTACTCTGGTTACTTTAATTCCACTATAACCAGAAAACCTTTTTGTTGAAATTATGTATTAATATGTTTTTATTTCTTTGCAAGTACAAATATGCTCTAATATTTAGAGCCTTATAGGTGTCTTGGTTTATCATTCTAAATATTCATTATCATTATATTGGCCATAGACATAGAAGATCTAAGCTGTTAGTATGGACTAAATCCATACTATATATAGTATAGAAGGGAAAAGTTGTGGTTCACCTTATTTTCATAATATTTGACTCTTTCTCTTATAAGGAAAATACTGGAAAATTCCATTCAAATTTTATTCTTATTATAAATGCACTTCTATTTGAAACTTGTTAATTGTTTATGAAGTAATATTTCCATCAAGGGCATCCATGAGCTTTATGAAAATAAGTTAAAGGATGTGATAATGAAATACAGAATCCTAAAATACAGATGTTGGCATGTCCTGCCTCACAAGCCAAGTTTGGACTGAATTTTCATTCTAATTCTTAACCAATTCCACATTTAATATCTAAGACCTTTTTATGATCACCTTTACTGTAGATACATTGAATGGTTTTCTGTGACTTTAAAGAGCGGAAGGCTTATCTGGTCATTTTGAATCACAGAGGTTTAGGAAGTAATTGGTAGGCATGTGTTGATGGCTTTTATCCAATAGGTTCCATATTTCTTTTCAAACTTAATACAGACTCTAATTTAATTAATGTTGTTTTTGATTAGGAGGCTTATTTAGGGTCCATAGCTCAGAAGTTTATCAATTTCTTGAGTAGTGTTACCAAAATTTCTATGACAATTAGAGATATGTGCATCACCTTCTTAGGTAAGGGTCTGGCTCCTTGGGGAACTCCATAGAGGGCAGGTATTATTTTAGTATACATACTAATATTGATAAGTAGCACTGTGGAGTTTATAGTGTATCTAGAACCTTGTGATACATGCATAATACTGGCTCCTCAGAAGGGCTTCATCTCAGGACTCTGCTTGTGATCCTAATTAAGTCTTAATACTTTTTTATAGAATCCCAAAACAAAAGAGCAAATTGAAAATCTGTTACGGAATGGGATGAACAAGGAGCTACGAGATCGTCTTTGTTGCCGAATGACTTTTGGGACTGCGGGACTTCGTTCTGCTATGGGGGCAGGATTTTGCTATATAAATGACCTTACAGTAATACAGTCAACACAGGTGAGTATTATAAAGTATATATGTATACTTTTAATGACTCTATATTTTGGCTTCATAGATTAGGTAGTGGCGTTCTAAAACAAAAAACTTTATGTCCAGGAAGGTACTTTCTTGTAAGTTAAATGTGGAATAAATGCTGACCTTTGCTCTTGGATGAGATTTATCTTAGGAGTCATTTGTGTATCTTCAAGGTCACAGACTAACTTTCTGATTAAGAGTTCTTATGGTTGCCATTGTCAACTTCTTGACAATGTTACTTTGCATTTGAAATCGGGAAACGGATATAGAGATTTCCAATTAATACAAAGAAACAAATTTAGGAAAAAGAGAATTACTCATTTTGGCCATTTATAAAGGCTAACCAGAATATTTGGAAAATTTAGTTGAAAATATTTCCCTTAAACATGGTTTTCTATATCCATTTGAGAGTTCTTGAAGACAGGGTATGATGTGATACAATTTATGTCTCACCATTTTTATACAACTTACTCTAGAAACAAATTACTTCTTTTTCTAGTGAACCATTCTCACTGCTTCAAAGAACTATACTTTTGAAGCCAAAATGCATTTAGAATATGCTAAAAATAGTTCTAATCAATACTGTCAAACAGTAAATCATCCTTAGCCTTGTTCTGAGGGAATTCTCTAAAGGCAAAAGCTAGTGCAGAGGATGGGGAAGAAGGGATGATAAGATGACTACATGGATAGGATACCTGCCCCTTCCTCCACCCCTGTCCCCTTTATTTTCCTCACCCAGAAGTGCATCACTTCACTCTTTTTAATATATCGATCTTCTCATAAGCTTTCATTTCAAGTGAAGATGCCTTTACTTTACAAAAGGGGTGGAGGAGTTGTTTGAAAATCAGTTTCTACGGAAGTGTAAATGTTTACTGGAGTTGAGATTCCATTGTGTGAAGTGGAAAAGCCTAATGGAACCTAATACGTAAGCCCTAGCCCTTTTCAGAATCTAGATAAAGGGGATAAGATAAGATGGATATTTATACCAGAGAATAATAGGAAGTTCTGTGAGGTTTTAGGATAGCATCATTATTATAATAAATAGGTGAAACTGGTCAACATGGGCTTCTTAAGCATGCATGTGCATGCACTTACACACATGCATACACACACATTCATAGGGAATGTAACCTGAGGACAGGGTGCCAAAAACACCTGGCTCTGGGGGTCCCAAACAGACCAGGTTTGGCCACTTGCCACTGACAAAATCCAAAGACAGAGAGAGGAGTGGTAGCGAAATAAGACAGGAATTTTTATCAGTGATGCCAACACGAGGAAGACAGCAGACTGGAGTGTCAAAGACTGCCTCCAAAGTGGTGAAAACACTTCCAGGTTTATATAAGGAAAATGTGGGACAACGGTGGGTGGGTACTTGCAGGTGGGCAGTGAAGGTCAAGTTGATCTGTAGTCTTGTAGTCAGTGATGTGGGTCTTGCTGGCTCAGGGTAGTCCTTATTGCTTGAAGGGGTAGTTACAGTTCCCATCAGGAGATTTGCTAGCGGGGTATTTTGCCTGAGTTAAGAGATAAGCTGGGAAGAAGAAATTAATCAATTAGGAAATTAGAGACTAAGGTCAAAATGAACGTAATTGAAATCCTCTTTGAGGAGCAGGTTGAAAAGAATAATTACACTTGAAAGATCCATGAAAAAAGGGTCCCAAGGTCACTGGGGCCTCATGTGGTCTGCCACACAATTACTTAGCAGTGCCTGCCATCCAGTACTTCAATAAATTAGTATAACTTAGTTTTAGTTGACTGAATCGCCTTGGGCAGATCATTAAGTGGAGCTTCAATCTCATTCTGTCTCCTCTTTTTTTTTAAGAGATATTGAAAAATAGACAAAAGTAGAAAAGGTATCTGCATTCTTTCTTTCTGAGGTCTTAAGGATTAAATGTGGCAACTCTTTTTTTTTTTTTTTTACTTTTAAAAATGATTTTATTATCATTTTTTTAGAGCAAGTTAAGATTCACAGCACAATTGAGGATAAGACACAGAACTGTTCCATATCCCCTGCCACCACACATACATAGCTTTCCCTGTTTATTGGTAAATTTTCATATGTTTATTTACCATATATGTATCTTCTTTAGTGAACTATCTATTAAGGTCTTTGGCTCAGTTTTCAACTGGGTTGTTTGTTTTCTTATTGCTGAGTTTTAAAAGCTCTTTGCATATTTTAGGAAACAGTCCTTATTAAATGTCTTTTGAAAATATTTTCTCCCAGACTATGGCTTGTCATCTCATTTTCTTGACATCATCATTCAATGAGCACCAGTTTTAATTTTAATAATGTCCAGGTTATTGATTCTTTCTTTCCTGGATCATGGCTTTGGTGCTGTATCTAAAAAGTCATCACCATACCCAATGTCATTTAGATTTTTCTCCTATATTATCTTCTAGGAATTTTATAGTTCCGCATTTTACATTTAATTCTGTGGCATATTTTGAGCTATTTTTTTGTGATAGGTGTAAAATCTGTTTCTAGATTCAAGTTTTTGCATATGGATGTTCAGTTGTCACAGTACCAACTGGTGACAAGACTGTCTTTGCTCTTTTGTAATACTGTTTCTCCTTTATCACAGATTTCTCCAATATCACAGATACTGACTCTTTGTGGATCTACTCCTGTCCTCTCTATTGTGTTTCGTTGACATGGTGGTCTATTCTTTCACTAATACCAGANGGGTACATGTGCTCCTATGCCTCAGCATTTCTGTATCCCTTGGGTAAATTCCTAGCAGTGCTATTGCTGGGTCATAGGGGAGTTCTATTGTTAGTTTCCTGAGGAACCTCCACACTGTTTTCCAGAGGGGCTGTACCAGTTTACATTCTAAATGTGGCAACTTTTTTGATAATGGTTTTAAAAGACTATAAAATAAGGAAGTGTTATTTCTGGAGATGAAAGCATTTATTGATGCTATCAAATCATAAGATAGTTAAATGGGTTTAGTTTATCGTTGTGATATTTTCAGTATTCAGTCTTCATTTCTTTTTTTTGTCGCCAGTGACTGCAGATTTTCCTAGTTCATGAGATTTTCTTTCTGTGAGATTTTAAAACTAAGGAATTACAAATGGGATCAGCCATCTTAAGAAATGTTGATTTTGCTGATTTAAAATATTTATGTCATAAATAGGTCAAATATTTTGGTTGGCTTCAGTCTTGTGATTTAGCAAGGCCAAATATGGTCAAAATTCTATTCTCTAGAGCTTTAAGGCAAGAAACAATTTCTTTTGGGTCCTCTGACAGGTTTTGTTTTGTTTTGTTTTGTTTTTGTTTTTTTAGCATACTGACTCTTGTCCCCTCGTTTTCCCCTAATGTTTTATGTATCATATTGTATTTAATAGTTACTTAATTGATATTTCTGTGGTATTAAACATGTCTGAAATTCCAGGAAATAAGCATTTGTCATCTCACATTTGAGGATTGAACTGTGTTTTTCCTAAATCAGTAAAAATGAGCATGACAGCGGAAACCAGTTCCCTATGAGCCAATAAGCTGCACATGACACATAAAAATAATAGATTTTAAGTTGTGGCAAATGCAGGTATTAGTCAGGAACTAATCTTTTGTGTTTGTCTGCTTCAGGGAATGTACAAATACCTTGAGAGATGTTTCTCAGACTTCAAGCAGAGAGGCTTTGTCGTTGGGTATGACACCCGGGGTCAAGTTACTAGCAGCTGCAGCAGCCAGAGGTACAGTGTTAATTGTTTCAGAGATTAAGTTGGATTGGAATAGCCTTAAAAAAAGAAAATTAACAGTAGGATTTCTGAAACAGGAAACTGTCAAATAGAAATGTGATCACATGCTCATGTTTACTTTTAGAGCTGAAATAGAAGCATTTTAAAAAGAACCCTTAGGTTTCATAGGCAGGGTTAAATTGTTTAAATATTTAGAATTAGTATTTAGAATGGTATCATAGCTATGTTATGATTTTAATGCTTTGGTAAAAGCACGGGGTAGGAGTGATTAAATAACTTGTATTCTCTCATTATAGTCCCATTTAATTAGTTTTAGGGTATTTTCACACATAGATAGTCATGAGATAGTGATACTTTTTTTCAGGGGTTAATAATGCAATTGTGTTATCAGAATCTCTTATTTCACTTTCCTCCATTCTTTTTGCCTTTCACAAGGTTTATTTCTTAGTAAAGGAGCCATCAAAAGATGATTAAGGAAAAAAGAGGAAATTAAAAGATCAGTTCTGTTTCTTGTTAACCTTTTTAAAGAATGTTATTTATTTAACATTTTTAAGTTGGAGCATGAAGCTTAAATAACCACTGATTATATGAATTGGTTATATTAAGCTACTATATATTCAGAATAATTACAATCTGAAACATTTATTTTGTAGAAGGTTAGATTTTAAAAATATACGGTAAGCTAAGGACTAAGTGAAATCTCCCTCTATTTTTTTTTTTTTTTAGACTTGCAAAACTCACTGCTGCAGTCTTACTGGCCAAGGATGTTCCTGTGTACCTTTTTTCAAGATATGTTCCTACGCCTTTTGTAGTAAGTGTGTTATATTATTGATTGTACAGTTTATTGCTCTTAAAAGGATTTCTTAAATCAACCAGGATTCAAATCTTTGTCATGCTTATAGTTCTATATTAAGTGACATGAAAGACCAAAGGAAGGAAAACAGATTTTGCTCTGAGTTTATTTTTATTCAACAAGCATGTGTTGAACCACCAAAGAATTTGATCTATAGCCAGATAACAAGTTTTACCCTATTTATGTCTTAATGTCTTCTCCTGTTACTAAAGTTATTCCTATGTCAAATGCGTAAGTAGGTAGAAAGCAAAATGCAATTATGGTGCTACTGTTTTTTCAGCCATATGCGGTCCAGGAGCTCAAAGCAGTTGCAGGTGTGATGATTACTGCTTCTCACAACCGCAAAGAAGACAATGGGTACAAGGTAAACCTTGGACTCTTGATCTTTGCTTACTTCATAGTTATTATTTTATTTAAATAATATGTGCTGAGTATATTTTCATCACTGAGGAGCAGGGTTAGATGTTGGGGAGAGGAAGACAAAAACATGAAGGCCACCCCTCAAAGGATGTTTCCCTAATGACCCTTATTACTTCTCAACATGTACTCCTACAAAAATCTCTTCACTGGTCTTTTTGCTTCTAGTATCTTACTGCCCTTGATTTCCCCACCCTATCCCAAATCCACCCTGTCTACCATTTTAGAAACAAAGTCATACTGAGAACTTAAAGAATGAATAGGAGTTTGCAGGAGGAAAGCCAGAGAAACAGTACCTTTATCTCTTTTTCTTTTCCCTCCAGCCTTCTACTGAAACTCCCCACTGGCCATAGGATCCATTTGATGTGTCAGCTTCCATGGCAGAAAGCAGGCAGAGGGGGGTGAAGAGCAGCAAAGAGAGAGTACAGCACAGTATTGAGCCAGTGTTTGGGGCTCCTGGGTGATGAGTGCATGAACTTATATTTGTTATTCTTCTAGTATGGGAGGTCTTCAGGTATACTGAACTCTGTTTTATTAGGGAAAAGAAGATTTAGTACTAATCTATGATTTTGGCCCTGGCCAGCTAAATGGGTTGTATTACCATGCACAGAGGCAGAGAAGAAGCATGATTAATTCAGTTTGGGACATATTAAGTTTGAGGTATTTGTGGGCCAACCAGGTAGCAATATCTTGTTGGTGACTGGATGTATAGATCTGCCCTGGGGAGAAATCTAAGGCTAAAGCTACAGGTTTGGGGGTTTTCATACATATTAGAACATATAAGAATATTTGGAAGTCTTGGGGCGCCTGGGTGGCTTAGTCGGTTAAGCGTCCGACTTTCACTTAGGTCATGATCTCGCGGTTCGTGGGTTCGAGCCCCGCGTCGGGCTCTGTGCTGACTGCCAGCTCAGAGCCTGGAGCCTGTTTCGGAGTCTGTGACTCCCTCTGACCCTCCCTGCTCACGCTGTCTCTCTCTCTCTCTCTTTCCTAGAAATAAATAAAAATATTAAAAAAAAATATTTGGAAGTCTTTTAGTTGGATGGGTGGCCTTGAGACAGTATGTAGTAAAAAATAGGATCCCTGGGGAACATCAACTTTAAGGAAGGCAGAAAGAATAAGTGCTGGAGATAGAGGATAGACCAGGGGAGATTAGTGCCATAAAAACCAAAGGGATAAGAAGAGAGTTGCAAGGAAGGAAAAGTCAACTGTCAAAGAGAGCTGAGAATCCAGATCTCTCCTCTGAGCATCAGATCAGACTCCTAAATCCAGCTGTCTACTTGCTATCCATTGGGATGTCTAATAAACATTTCAGAATTAGTGTCTCTCTGATAGAGGTCTTAATGCCCCCACAACCTGTCATACATACACATACCCAAATATGTTCCTCCCTGAATCTTCCCCATCTCTGTGAATTGATATTACCAGCCACCCAAAGACCAAAAATTATTCTTTTTTAAAAAATTTTTATTTATTTTGTGTGAGAAAGAGAGAGTGTATGCACATGTGCTCATGAGTGGGAGAGGGACAGAGAGAGAAGGAGAGAAAGAATCTCAACCAGACTCCACACCTAGTATGGAGCTGATCCCACCCCCCTACCCAGGTGCCCAACCACCCAAGCGCCCCCCAAAATTATTCTTACTCCTTTTTCTTCACTCCTAAAATTTAACCCACTAACATATTCACAAATTCCACATTTAAAATGTATGTTGAGGGTCTCCTGGGTGGCTCAGTCAGTTGGTTGAACATCCAACTCTTGGTTTCAACGGAGGACATGATCTCACAGTCAGGGGATCTGCTCCAAGCTGGGCATGGAGCCTATCTTGGATTCTCTCTCTTCCCAGCTCTCTGTCCCTTCCCCACTCTCTCTAAATAAAAAATAAATAAATAAATAAACTTTAAAAATAATAATAAAATAGAATAAAATGTATGTTGAATGTATTTGCCCTGTTCACTTCTTCTACCCCCACCATCCTAAAGCATTGTTATCTTCTGTCAGAGCTCCAGCATCCTAGCTGGTCTCGTTCTGGTCCCATTGTTCTCTCTGAAATCCATTTTCCACCAAGCAACCATATGATTTTTTTTTTTTTAATATGAAAAGGTCATGTTACTTTCCTGCTTAAAATTCTCCAGTGGCTTCTCACTCTTCAAATAAAATCCACACTCCCTACCTTGGGGTTTCCAGGACTGACTCCTGCCCTACTTCAACTTCATTTCATTCATTCCTCTCCTGTGCTCACTACATGCTCACTCACACTACTGCTTCTTTCTGTTCCTTTGGTCCTCCACTATAGTATACCAAAGTGTTTCCCACCTCTGAGTCTTTGTCACTGTTTTTTCCTCTGCTTGGATTGCTCCTCCTTAATATTGCAGATTTGCTTATTTTCATCCTTCAGATTCCTGCCCAGATGTTATTTCCTTGAAGAGACCTTCCCAGGCCATCTTATCTGAAGTGACTTCCCTCAGTGACTTTCTTATCATCTTGTTTATTTCCTTTACAGAACTTATCACTGTCTCTGATTATCTGCTTTCTTTAGGATGGATTGTTTCTTTTTTTTTTTAATTTCTAAAATGTTTTATTTATTTCTGAGACAGAGGCAGCGTGAGCAGGGGAGGGTCAGAGAGAGATACAGAATCCGAAGCAGGCTCTAGGATTGGTTAAATAAACCAGGACTCATTTATACAGATTTTTAAAAAAAATTTATTTCTGAGAGAGAGACAGCATGAGCAGGGGAGGGTCAGAGAGAGAGAGGGAAACACAGAATCCGAAACAGGCTCCAGGCTCTGAGCTAGCTGTCAGCACAGAGCCCAACGCGGGACTCGAACCCACGAACTGTGAGATCATGACCTGAGCCGAAGTCAGACACTTAACTGACTGAGCCATGCAGGCGCCCCTAGGACGGATTGTTTCTTTATTTTTTATTTCATGGGTGGAGGGGCTTCATCTGTTATGATAGTCATTGCTGGTGAACATATTTACCACATAGTTAGAACCTCAAAGATTTTTTTCCCTTAAAATATAAGCATAATGCAAAAAGGATAAAAGTTAAATAGTGTACAAAGTTAAACAGTCAAAAGTATCTCTTCTATTCGTTTCCTCCAGTACCTCTCTTCAGAAGCAAATACTGTTTCTGGTTATGTTTCCTCCCAGAGATTGTCTATGCATGTATAATTATATATGTATTTGTCACATCCACGTATTTTTCCATAAATGGTAGAATACTACATAGAGTGTTCTACACCTGGCTTTATTTCATACAACAATATGAAACAGTCTTAGAAATCATTCACTCAGTTGATCAATTGATAGGTAGATAGGTCTGCCTCCTTCCTCTTTAAAAATCTGTATAAATGAGGGGCGCCTGGGTGGCTCAGTCAGTTAAGCGCCTGACTTCGGCTCAGGTCATGATCTCACAGTTCGTGGGTTCGAGTCCCGCATTGGGCTCTGTGCTGACAGCTAGCTCAGAGCCTGGAGCCTGTTTCGGATTCTGTGTTTCCCTCTCTCTCTGACCCTCCCCTGCTCATGCTGTCTCTCTCTCAGAAATAAATTTTTTAAAAAAAATCTGTATAAATGAGTCCTGGTTTATTTAACCAATCCTCTGTTGAGGGACGTTTCATTTGTTTCTGATCTTCTGCTACTCATAAATAGTGCTACAAAGAATGTTCTTCTACATGTCTTTGTTCATATGTGGAAGTAGATTTGCATAATCAGTATAGAATAGTGGTTAGGACTATGGGTTAGATTTAAAACCTGCCTCTTTCACTCACAAGCTTTGTGACTCCATGCAAGTTCATTTCTCTGTGTTTCCCCATCTGCAAACTAGGGGTAATAATAAAACCAATGTCATAGGGTGAGAGTGATGATTAAAGGAGATATTGCATGCAAAATGCCTAGTATAGTGTCTGGCTCCAATAAATGCTTAATGAATGTTAGCTATTGCATTTATTCCTTTTTATTTTATTTTATTTTAAAATTTTTAATGTTTATTATTTTTGAGACAGAGAGAAACACAGCATGAGTGGGGGAGGGGCGGAGAGAGAGGGAGACACAGAACCCGAAACAGGCTCCAGGATCCGAGCTGTCAGCACAGAGCCTGACACGGGGCTCGAACCCACGAACTGTGAGATCACGATCTGAGCCGAAGTTGGACACTCAACTGACTGAACCACGCAGGCACCCCACATTTATTCCTTTTTAAAAAAATTTCTTAGGAGCACATTGTCTCTCTCTCAAATAAGTAAACATTAAAAAATGTTTTTTAATTTTTTTAATGGTTTTATTTATTTCTGAGAGAGAGAGAGAGCGTGAGAATAGGGGAGGGACAGAGAGAGAGGGGAAACAGAGAACCCCAAGATGCTCTACACTGTCAGTCCAGAGCCCGATGTAGGACTTGAACCCATGAACCATGAGATCATGCCCTGAGCCCATGATTGGGCCCTCAACAGACTGAGCCACCCCGGTGCCCCAACTGCTTTTATTCTTATCATCTTATAGCTGCATTGTCCAATATTGTAGCCACTAGCCACCTATGTCTTTTGAACATTTAAAATATGACTAGTATGAACTAAGATGTACTGAAAGTGTAAAATACACACCAAATGTCAAAGACATAGTATGAAAAAAGAATGTAAAATATTTCATCAATTTTATATTGATTACATGTTGAAATGACAATATTTTGGATATACTGGGTTATATAAAGTATATTACAGTTAATTTTACCTGTTCCTTTTTATCTTTTTTAATGTGGTCACTAGAAAATTTAAAATTACATAAGTGGGCCTGAATTTGTGGCTCACTTTATATTTCTATGGCACTGTTGATCTATAGGATAAGTTTCTGGAAGTAAAATTTTTGAGTCAAAGGGATATAAAAGAAAATTTGTCATTCTCTACCCAAGACAGTTGTACCAGTTGATACTCTCAATAACAATGTATGAGGGTCTCTATCTCATACCTTCCATATTATCAAACTTTTTGGTCTTTACCAGTCAGATAGGTGAAAATGTTATGTTGAATCTGCACCTGTTTTATGAATGAGGTTGAGCATCTTTTCATTTATTTACATGATATTTGTGTTCCATTTCCTGAGAAATCTGTTAAAGGTTTTGTCCATTTTCCCCTTGGGTGATTGCTCTTCTTAGTGATTTTTGGGAACTCTTTATATGTAAAAAGTAGCTCTTAGTCATCTGCTTTGCAGGTATTTTACCCCCAAATTATCATTTGCCTTTTGACTTTATATTTTTTCATGCATGGTATTATGGTATTTTTCCATTTGGGAAAAAATATTTTGGCATTTTAATTGGTATCCTATTTCATTTGTAGATTAATATAGTAAGCTTCAATGTTTTTATTGAGTCTCTTTATTCATGAATAGGATGTATCTCTCTATTCTTTCAAGACTTCTATTATATACTTTAGTAAAATTTTAAATATATATTTTTTATTTTTAAGTTTATTTATTTTGTGTGAGAGAGAGAGAGAGAGAGAGAGCACAAGCTGGGGAGAGTCAGAGAGAAGGAGAGACAAAATCCCAAGCAGGCTCCGTGCCATCAGTGCAGAGCCCAATGCGGGTCTCAAACTCACACACCGTGAGATCATGACCTAAGCTGAGATCAAGAGTCAGACACTTAATTGATTGCACCACCCAGGCACCCCAACATTTTAAATACTTTTAATAGATATTTCATGTTTCTTTTAAAGTTTGTTCTTTGGTACATTTTGTTGCATGGATTTTTCTGTTATTATGTCAGATAGGGATACTTTCTGCTATAGATTCAGAAAACCCACAAAAATGGTTTAAGCTGATAGGAGTTTATTTTTCACATATAAAGTCCAGAGGTAGGTGGTTGCTGGCAGTGTTCTATAGCCCAGTGTTGTTGGGCCTGGCATCTCTGCAGTATTTTTGACCTTTCCCTCCAGTGTGGACATCATATAATGGTTGTACCTCTAGGCATCACATTCATATACGAAGGCAAGAAGAAATGGGTAAGGAGAAAGGCCAGGAGTTTTTTTCTCATGTTTTATAAATTTTCATGGTGAGTTTCTGAAAGCTATGGATATAGCCTATGGATAGAATCTTTTTTATGGCTTGGAATGTGGGAGCATCACTCAGAGTAGTTTTTGGTTTTTTTTTTTTTAATTTCTTTAGGAACTTAAGGAGTTTCACTGATGGGGAGCAATTTCTGTGTTAATTTAGATCTCAGCTTTGAAAGTGTTTTAATATCCAGAAGAACAGACATGCTTCCTCATCACCCTTCTAGAATAGTGGGCAGAGCTTCTATTTGGTAATTTCACTGATCACAGGGGTGGGAGGGGAGTCTCAGGTCTCAAATTTCCTACATTCCACGTGGGTGTTACAACTCAAGAACCAGATAAATGGACAGTTCCCAAACCCCAGGCAGTCACACCATCAGCTCACAGCCTTATCACTCTGGTGTTCAATTCTTTCCTTTTTCCCATTGCCTGGAATTTTCCCTTTTCTTCTTATGAACTAAGCTATACATTTTAGATAATGTTTTTCCAACTTGAGCTAACATTTTAAGGTGTTCATAGAGTGAGAATTTTCAGGTCATCTAGCCTACCATATTGTTTGGTACAGAGCTTAGTACATAGTACATATTCAAATGTATTCTTCTTTTCATCATTCAGGATGCAAAAGAGAGTAGTCTCATCATGTATACGGTAGAAGTCAGTATAGATATTCTCTAAGCAGAGTCCCTTCTAGCTTTGAGATTCTATGAATTATAGAAATAAATTTTCTTCCTTTTTTGTTAACTCTTCCTAATGTCTTGTTAATCAAGCCACTTAACAAACTGGCAGCTTAATGAAATGTATTTTGATTAATACTGAAAGCACATATACTGAAATGTGTATGCAGTAATTAACATTTTAATTATCTTTCCTGATCTAGACTTTATCTGGTGTGACCTAAATTCTGCTTTAATTTATAGCTGAAACAGAGAAAGACAGATACCATATGTTTTCACTCATATGTGGATCAGGAGAAACTTAACAGAAGACCATGGGGGACGGGAAGGGGGAAAAAATAGTTATGGAGAGGGAGGGAGGCAAACCATAAGAGGCTCTTAAATACTGAGAACAAACTGAGGGTTGAGGGAGCACGTGGGGGAGAGGGGAAAACGGGTGATTGGCACGGAGGAGGGTACTTGTTGGGATGAGCACTGGGTGTTATATGGAAACCAATTGACAAACTATATTTAAAAAAATTTATAGCTGATAAATAATTTCTTTATCACAGAACTACTTTATAATGCTCAAATTTTATAGTGTCAAATTTTATGGATAACCCATGATTTCTTAGGTTTATCTGTAGAATACAGTTATAGATCTAAGAGTATGATTGAATATTATGGTATATATATATTAATATGTTGTCATAATGGTGCCCTGATTATATTTTACCTGTATTGTTATTAAAATATACTTCTAAAAGAGAAAATAATACATGATCATTTTATTGAAGAGTCCCTGAGAAATCATTATCATCAACATCTTTCATATTACTTTAGTCCCATGTTGACAGTTTCTACTTAATTAATTTGGTATGCTTTTTCATAAAGCCAAAGATCTCTACTGGAGATAAAATTTTCTGGCCAACATTTCAAGTAATTATAGCTATATTTACCTATCATCTAGGTTTATTGGGAAACTGGTGCCCAGATCACATCTCCTCATGATAAAGAAATTCTGAAATGTATAGAAGAATGTGTGGAACCTTGGAATGGTTCCTGGAATGATAATTTAGTGGACACCAGCCCACTGAAGAGAGATCCTCTGCAGGACATTTGCAGAAGATACATGGAAGATCTTAAAAAGATCTGTTTTCACAGGTATGGCGGGGGGGGGGGTGTAGGCTAGTATTAGCATATAATAAGTTTAACAAGGAAAGAAATAGGGATAAAAATGTGTTGGCTCTTCATTATATTAAAAGTATAGCTAAATAGCACTATTCATCATAGTTAAAAGGTGAAAATAACCCACATATCCACCAGCTGACGAATGGATAAATAAACTGTGGTTTATCCATACAAGAAAATATCATTCAGCTGTAAAAAGAAATACTGATGCATACTGCAACATGGATAAACTTTGAAAACATGCGAAGTGAAAGAAGCCAGTCACAAAGGACCACATATATGATTCCATTTAAATGAAATGTCCAGAGAAGGCAAATATATAGGGACAGAAACAGACAGATAGTATAGTAGTGATTGCCTATGGCTGGGAGGAACAGGAGCGTTAGGCGGTGGTGGCTCTTTTTGGGGTAATGAGAATGTTCTAAAATTGACTATGGTAATGTTTGAATAACTGTGAATATATTAAAAGCCATTAAATTGTACATTTTAATCAAGAATTGTACAGTATATTAATTACTTCCTAATAAAGCCATTAAAAAATTATAGCTAAATTTATGTATTCTCTATATGAGATCAGGAAATTTCCTCTAAAATTTGATTTTGCAGTATTTCTCTGTCTCCTTAACTATTCCGTAAATAGCTAACACTATTGCTAGAAAGTGTCCTGGCTTGCTGAGTTTATTTTCTTTATCCTAAAGAATAGATTTTAGCTTTTTATCTAACTTTTTAAAATTATACCACAAGTACCAAGTTGTGTGATACTGATTGAATCATTCTTTTCCTTTACAGGGAATTAAACTCAAAGACCACCTTGAAATTTGTACATACATCTTTTCATGGGGTCGGACATGACTATGTGCAGCTGGCTTTTCAAGTGTTTGGTTTTAAGCCTCCTATTCCAGTACCAGAACAAAAAGATCCTGATCCAGATTTTTCTACTGTTAAATGCCCAAATCCTGAAGAAGGAGAATCCGTGCTGGTATTTTTTTTCTTTATTTAAATTATCATGAATGTGTTAAATGTTATCAGATAGACAGAACTCATTTGACAATTCAATGATTACTTACAAAGGTAGATACCATCTTAGTTTACATAATTTAAATTATATTGGAGCCATATATTCTGTTTTATTTGAAATCTCTATGATGGATATTTCTTCTTCTAGACTTTTTTTTTTTTTTTAGTTTAGTTTATTTTGAGAGAGAGAGGCACAGAGTGAGAATCTCAAGCAGCCTCCACACCATCTGCACCGAGCCTGATGTGATGCTCGGTCCCACGAACCATGAGGCCATGCCTGATCCGGGATCAAGAGTCAGACACTTAACTGACTGAGCCACCCTTGAGCCCCTAGGCTTATTTTAAGTTTAGCCAAACTTATATTCCTTCTAAAATTTATATCAACTAACATCATCCCTCCATTTAGGAATTAAATGAATTTAACATCTTCAATACAATCCAGTGATTTGGCTCCCTGTTTCAGGAACTTTCTTTGAGACTGGCAGAGAGAGAAAATGCCCGTGTAGTGCTAGCCACAGATCCTGATGCAGACCGACTGGCAGTGGCAGAGCTTCAGGAGAAGTAAGTAAAGCCTGTTATTTAATTAAAAGCTTAAAACTTTGAAAAATAGTTTTGATTTTAAGTCTTACAGCCTCATTGGAAATAATAAAAACAAGAAAATAAATCTCCCAGAAGCCCACTATCCAAAGATAACCCTTAGGTTGATATTTTGACATCTCCTTTCTATATTGTTTCTACTCAGATATTTGAGATATACTACAAATTATTTCTATAAAATTGTTATTATACTGTATATATTTTTATGTCTTCATTGTTTTCCACTTAATATTGAACTGTGAGCACTTTTTTCAGTCCTTAAATATTGCTTAAAATACTCTTTTTTAAGATTTTTGAATGTTTATTTTTGAGAGAGAGAGAGAGATATACACACACACACACACACAGAGTGCAAGTGGGGGAGAGGCAGAGAGAGAAGGAGACACAGAATCTGAAGCAGCTCCAGGTTCTGAGCTGTCAGCACAGAACCCCATGTGGGACTTGAACCCACGAACCATGAGATCATGACCTGAGCTGAAGTCAGACGCTTAACCAACTGAGCCACCCAGGAACCGCTTAAAATGTTAATTCTTAAAATGGATTAATATCCCAGCAGATTGCTTTATCAATATAATACTTTTCTGATCTTGGTCTTTTGGGTTGCTGTGGATTTTTGTTATTATAATGTTGTGACAAATGTTCTTACACAGACAGGACATCATATTCTAAATTTTTCTCTCATTAAGTAAGAAAATAAAAGTGACAGTGTAATACTTTTTCAGCAGACATTGCTACCGTTTTTACCCTAAGTTCACCTCTGGTGAGGTAGAAATAGTACTAAATGTTTTCTCAAAAATCTCATATAATAGTTCTTGAATTTTCCTATGTGAAGGATAGTAATTTGTATGTCTTAGGGTCAAGAAATTTTAATGAGAAGTTATAAAAATCTTGAACTGAACTGAATTTTCATTCTCTCTCCAGTGGTCATTGGAAAGTATTCACAGGAAATGAATTGGCAGCTTTGTTTGGGTGGTGGATGTTTGATTGCTGGAAGAAAAATAAATCAAGAAATGCTGATGTGAAGAACGTTTATATGTTAGCTACCACAGTCTCTTCCAAAATTTTGAAGGCAATTGCACTTGAAGAAGGATTTCATTTTGAAGTAAGAACAGATAATATCTGTGTGCTACTTTTCTAAATCGATTTCTTTTTTTAATTAAATGAGATATTACTTAAACCCATTAATCTGACAATAATTTTTTCAAGTTTATTTATTTTGCAATAGAGAACATGAGGTGGGGGAGGACCAGAGAGAAACAAGGAGAGAGAGAATCTGAAACAGTCTCTGAGCTGTCAGCACAGAGGCTGATGTAGAGCTCGAACTCAAAAACCATGAGATCATGACCTGAACTGAAATCGAGAGTTGGATTTAACTGACTGAGCCACTCAGGCACCCCTCTAAATCAATTTCTATACATTAAATCCATCTCCCCACCAAAACCGACTTTCATTGATTTGATTTATAACCCCCCCTTTTTTCTAATTCTGTTAAAATGTGCTTATCTTTTGACAATTTACACACCTTGAACCAAGTTCATCCAGTATGTGAATTTCTGGAACTAAGATAAGAAGTTCTTTAAAAATTGCATTAATGCTTATTATTCCATACAGCAATACCTGGTTTTCATAATAAGAAAATCTGGCTCCTAGTAACCTCATCAGTAATATAAACTCCATTCCAAAAAATTGTAGGTATCATCAACCACTGTTTAGGCTCTTCAAGTTCAGTCTTAAGAAACTTAAGAAACTACCTTAAGTCATTTTCTAAATTATAAATGAAGACTCAATGGTTCTATATCCAAAAAAACAAATAATGACTGTCAACACAGATCTTTAACCTCTGTGAGCCTCAGGCAGTTAAGCTGACAGTTTTTAGAGCTTCTGAGACTCATGCCAATTAAATTGCTTTTCCTCTGCCATCTTAGCCAAAATGTCAGTGTAAATGTCATCTCTTGGCTTTTTTTTTTTTTTTAAACACAGCCAAGCTACAGATCGTAACACTAATTGGCTGAATAAAAGAAAATTATACCTGTTTTAATGAAATGGAACTTTCAGTCTCAGGCTTTTAAAGAAATTTAAACAGCAAGAGCAAAAATTGAAAACTTATTCAAGCCTGAGATTCTGAATTACATTAATGTTAACATTTTCCTCATTAATATCTATGCCAAGAACAACATATAATGAGCACACAAGAGAAAAAAGAACCTGAATCTGAAGACCAGTATTATAAATTTGCTTTCTTGTGTTTGTTATTGTATGTGAGGAGGCAGTAGAAGTTTTTGGCTTTTATTTTTTCCCCCTGAGGAAGTAGAGAGGTGAATTGGGAATCATAAGTTAGTAATGGTCAGCTCTAGAATCAGTGTCTATCACATGCTCTTTCTATTGACTCTAAAACAGTTCATGTTTGGGGTGCCTGGGTGGCTCAGTCGGTTGGGCATCTGACTTTGGCTCAGGTCATGATCTCATGGTTTGTGGGTTTAAGCCCTGCGTTGGGCTCTGTGCTGACAGCTAGCTTGGAGCCTGGAGCTTACTTCAGATTCTGTGTATCCCTGTCTCTCTTACCTGCCCCTGCTCACACTCTCTCATAAATAAATAAAACATTTAAAAAAATTAAAACAGTTCATGTCTTTTTTTTTTTTTTTAATGTTTATTTTTGAGAGAGAGAGAGACAGTGCAAGCAGAGGAGAAACAGAAAGAGGGAGGCACAGAATCTGAAGCAGGCTCCAGGCTCTGAGCTGTCAGCACAGAGCCCAATGCAGGGCTCAAACTCACCAACCGTGAATTCATGATCTGAGCCGAAGTTGGATGCTTAACCCACTGAGCCACCCAAGCACCCCATGAAACAGTTCATGTCTTTAAAGTGAACAGTAGTTCATCAAATGAAAAATCCCTGAATCTAATTACCAAAGAAGGGCTTGGTAATTCTCTCGGTTTTATTTAGGTTATGGTATTATAGTAAGGAATACTTGGTTCAAGCATATCCTGTGATAATGTGGAAAGTACATCATTAAAAAGCTTTAGGGCCTTTGATTATTCAGGGGAACTAAATCACACCCTTCATAGGTGCTCTTATATTAGTACTTATAATAGAGCCTAAAAGACAGTTTCTGAGAAGCACTGTAATTGAATCCTGGCTTTGTCTCTTATATACAGTGTAATTTTGGGCAAATTTACTGAGCCTCTGTGTCAGCAACAGAGTTTTTGTGAGCATTTAAAAAGACAATGATATAAAGCACCTGTTAACAGTGCTTGATAAATAGTAGATGATCATAATATATGTGTGTATTTATGTTACTTTGTGACTCTATATATCACCACCTTTAACCATTGGATTATATTTGGTGTAAAATCACCTCTTGTGCGCTCAGTGAATAGTAGTTTATCACTCGTGGCAATGTGAATCCAAGCATTTCCTGGCTGTATGCTTACCACTTTATAAATTTGTGTGGACCAAAAACCATAACAGAAGATCACTGTGAGAGTGTTATGTGCATTTACAACAGGCTTTTCTCTACTCTATGTTTATGAGGAATCAGTTAACTTGAGTGGCCTTCTGTGCATTTCAGGAAACATTACCAGGTTTTAAGTGGATTGGATGTAGGATAAAAGACCTCCTGGAAAATGGGAAAGAAGTCCTTTTTGCATTTGAGGAATCGATTGGTATGTAGTAAATATGAAAATCTTTGAAATTTGATGAGAGTATCTTTTTAAATATAGTAACTCTATGGAGAGGAATTTTTGTCTTCTGGTTTTGCATTTTGAGTTGTAAAAACCACAGAGAACTCGGATATATGTGGATGCATTTTTCATTGGGGGAAAAAAAACCTTCGAAGTCCCCTAAATACCGTCAGTGTCAATGGGTTTCATCAATTACTAGGCCCTTAAATTCATTGGTTCTTCTGAAGAACTTTAAAACTATTTATTTTGAAAGAGACAGACAGCGTGAGTGGAGGACAGTGAGAGAGAGGGAGACCAAGAATCCCAAGCGGGCTCCACACATTCAGCACAGAGCCTGATGTGGGGCTCAAACCCATGAAACCATCAGCTCATGACCTGAGCCAAAACCAAGAGTTAGTGCTTACTTGACCAACTGAGCTACCCAGGCACCCCTAAAACTATTGAAATTATTATAGGCTTAAGCTTTCCCCTTTTTAAAAACTGTTTTAATTCTCAGGTTTTCTGTGTGGAACTTCAGTTTTGGAGAAAGATGGGGTGAGTGCAGCCGTTGTTGTTGCTGAGATGGCAGCTTACCTGGAAACCATGAACATAACGTTGAAACAGCAATTGACTAAGGTTTATGAAAAGTAAGTTGTATTATTATGAATTTCTAGTTTCAATTGCTGAATTTCTTAATTTTTTGGTCTTCCTTTTAGCTTTCTAAATTTGGTTTCAAAAATAGCCAGTCCTTTTTAAAAAGTTCTATAACTGAACGAAAGACTTCCACTTTCTACTTAATACAGTAATAGGCTTATCTTTAATATTTGCTTTCCCGAAGAGTTATCTGACATCTAATTTTAACACCCTAAATTTTTGTGCAGATATGGTTATCATATTTCAAAAACGTCCTATTTCTTGTGTTATGATCCAATTACCATCAAAAGTATATTTGAAAGGCTTCGCAATTTTGATGCTCCAAAAGAATATCCAAGATTTTGTGGGACATTTGCTATATTGCACATTCGGGACATTACCACTGGATATGACAGCAGCCAGCCTAATAAGAAATCAGTAAGTACCCATATTTTTTAAAAGTTTTTTAACAATTTGTAGTACATTGTAGTATAGTGAAACGGTGAAAGTTCAAGTCTATGAGTGTCTTGAAGCAAAGATTCACTGTTTTACTTCAGAGCAGTTGTAATCCCAGAGGCTCCCTGCCTCTGATCTTGTCCTTTTCTCTCTTCAGGTAGGGAGGTGGGAAAGAGAATTAGACAAAAAGAGAAAGGGAGAATGTGTGATGATGCTAAATAATGTTGAAAATAAAGTCTAAAAGCCTGTCGTTTCAAAGTTTACCATTAACACCCTTTTATTTGTAACTTTTCTTTTCAACCTATTCCCTATATTTGTAGCCAAGTAAAACAACTTAAAGTTTCTTACGTGCATGTTTTTATTAAAAATTTCTCTATGTTTGCTCAAACTATTTCCTCACTCTGCATTCCTTCCTATTGCCGCAGATGTGCCACACCTTAGCCATTATTTAACTTCAGGCAAAAGTCTCCTCCACATAACCTCCAGGTCCCATAATTAAATATCTTCCCTCTGAGGTTCCATTATATATGGTGCCTTCCTCTTGTCACTTACCCTCTATTTTATGTTATCATTGGGTTGTACGTGGCAGATCCCTTTCCGATATACCTACCTCTCTGCTTTTCAAGGCTCTTGGTGGGTGCTCAACAAACATTTAATGCTATAGATTGCTGGTCATATATATTTGGTTATTGTTATGATTGTTAGCCTAACTTTCCATTTATAATGTTCTGATGTTGTCTCAAGATGCTAGGGGCATAATATATTTTGGGAAGTCTGCAGCTTCTTAAAATATAGCTCATATTCCTTTTATGTGTGTATATTCATCTGGTCAGCAAATGTTGGTTCCCAGTTGTTGGCATTCTGTATATATGCATAGGTGTGTGTATCTATTTTTCTGTCCTTATAAACTACTTGAAGAGAAGATCCAAATTTTTTGCTTCTTTTTATTTCACAACTGTTGCTGTGTTCAGAGTAGTTCTTGTTGTGATGCTTTTTTCCCCATTTTTCCCCCTTTAAGCTTTATGACATTCATTATTCAGTACTTTTCTATCTGTTCTCTGTGGATGCTTAACAATTTTGTAAGGCAGGTACTATAGATATGATTAATCCCCTAAGGTCACATGGTAAATGTCAAAGACTTCCTGAGGTTTTTCTTCACATTTCAGGTTGATATTCATCTGTGTATTCAGTAGGCATTTATCAGAATCCCTTGGTGCCACAGGTACAAGCACACTAGAGATAGAGCAGTGACACAGGCACTGTTTCTGCACTCGGGAGTCTAGTGGGGAAATGGAAGGGAACAGTGATTATACTTTACAACATGACAAATGCAACCAGGGGGTGCATAAGGGGACATGGACAAGCATAGGAAGGACCCTTGCTTGGATTTGGAGGGCTTATGGAAGACATTCTAGAGGCCTTTTGGAGCTGAGCAAGAGTGGGAGTTATCCAGATGTAGGAGACAGTGGGTGTTCAGGCAAATGGAGCAGCAGGTGCTGGATCTGGAGGTGAGAAGGCATGTTCTCCTTCATAAAACCACAAGGAGTTCTCTACAACTGTACTGTGGAGTTTGAGGAAGAATGGCCCGTGCAGTGCATGGGTTAGAGAGAGACAAACTCCCAGGCGGTAAGATCAGTTCATATGCTGTTTCAGTAATCAAGCTGAGAGATGATGGGAGCCTGAATCTTTTTTTTTTTTTTTTTATGTTTACTATTTTTGAGAGAGATAGAGTAGGGTAGGGACAGAGAGAGGTAGGGACAGAGGATCTGAAGCAGCTCCATGCTGACAGCAGAGAGTCTGATGCAGGGCTCAAACTCATGAACCATGAGATTGTGACCTAAGCTGAGGCTGGATACCTAACTGACTGAGCCATCCAGGTGCCCCTAAATTGAATATAGTAACTGTAGTGATGGAAAGTTGGACAAAATAGAATAGATAGTACTTGCTAACTGATGGTCTGTGAGTGAAAAAGAGGGGAAGAAGATGTCTGTTTTAGGCAACGGGTATATGGTGGTACCACTGTAGGAGGGGTTTCAAGGAGAGGACCAGGCTTAGGACACCTGATGAAAGGCAGCACTGTCAAACCCCTCTGTCACAGTACAACCCCCACAGTTCCCCCAAGATACTTTCATAGACTGATCTGTGGTCCAGGAAGAGTACTAGTGTATGTTCAGTGTCAAAAATAAAACTTTTTTCCTTTATTAACTATTATGTGTAACGTATACAATTTTTGTACGCCAGTAAATTATTTTGCCTCTAGAATGTGGGCACTCTGCTTTGGAGACTATTGATAAACTGTGAAAGTGCTTTAAAATTATAAAGCACCTTGCAAATGTAGAGGCAGTTTAGACTTTGATACAAACAGGCGTGGCCTCAGCTTCTTGCTCTGCCACTTTAGCTGATTACCTTGACCGGGTTGTTTACTCTTTTTGAAACTTGTCGGTCCATTGGCGGTAATATTTACTTTAGGAGATTATTGTTGAGGTCTAGAGATCATGTATATAGCCCAGTGTCTGTACTATTATAAATGTTCACTACATGGTATATTTATAAATTATTATGTATGTAATCTCCTTTTGTATTTTATAATTCTTTTAAAATTATTTTCAACTGTAAAAAACATAAAATTTACCGCCGTAACTTTTTTTAAGTATGAAGGCCCAGCAGTGTTAACTGTATCTACATTGTTGTGCAACCGATCTCCAGAGCTTTCTCATCTTGCTAAACTGAAACCCCATACCATTAAACTTCCCCCTCCTCACTTCCCCCCACGAGTCTTGCCAGCAGCCTTCTACTTTCTATTTCTATGGATTTGACTCCTTTAGATACCTCATATAAGTAGCGTATATTTTACAACTGTCAAAAAATGAGAAAGGTACCAAGTGTAACTAAGCTGTTGTTAAAATTGTGCCTAGGTGCTGCCTGTGAGTAAAAACAGCCAAATGATTACATTTACTTTTCAAAATGGCTGTGTGGCTACTCTTCGGACAAGTGGGACAGAACCCAAGATAAAGTATTATGCAGAGATGTGTGCATCGCCTGAGCAGAGGTGAGAATTGATATTTTAAATTTATATATAAGCTTTATTGAGATATAATTCACATACTGTACAGATTACCCATTCAGAGTGTACAATTCACTGGTTTTTAGTATATTCAGAGTTGTGCAATCATTACAATCATTGTTTTCTCCATGTATTTTTTTTTCTTATTCTCAAATTAGCTAACATATGGTATAGTATTGCCTTCAGTAGATTCCAGCGTTTCATCACATACAACATCCAGTGCTCATCAACAAGTGCCCTCCTTAATGCCCATCATCCGCTTTCCCCTCCCTCATCAACCCTCAGTTTGTCCTCTGTAAGAGTCTCTTATGGTTTGTCACAATCATTTTTTTTTACTTACAGTCAATTTTAGAACATTTTCATCACCTCAAAAAGAAACCCCATACCCACTAGCAGTCACCTGCTATCCCCACACTCTTAGCCTTAGGCAACCACCAATCTACTATCTGTCATTATAGACTAGTTTATTGTGGACATGTGATATAATGGAATCATACAATATCTAGCCCTTTGTGACTAGCATGTTTTACTTGGCTTAATGTTTTCAAGTTTCATCCCTGTTGTAGCATGAATCAGTACTTTATTCCTTTTTTAAAAAAAGTGTTTTCATTGCCTAATGATATTCTATTATATGGATTATAAAACTTTTTTATCCATTTATCAGGTAGGGGACATTTGGATTTTTTCCCCTTTTTAACTATAATGAATAATGGTGCTACAAATGTTTGTGCAAAAATTTTTGTGTGGACATATATTTTCATTTCCCTTGGGTAAATATGTAGGTGTAGAATTGCTAGGTCACATGGTAGTTCTATGTTTGATCTTCAGAGGAGCTGTCAGACTGGTTTCCAAACCAGCTGCATCATTTAGGAATTGAATTTTAAAATTTTAGTGAATTTTTATTACTGGGAAGGTTCTGTGAGCTTTAATTGTTATATGATAAACATAAAGAAATGACCAACAAAAAATTTGTCAGACAATATTCATTTTCTTAAATGTTTATTTTGAGAGAGAGACTGAGAGGAGGGAGACAATGAGCAGGGGAGGGGCAGGGAGAGAGAGAGAGAGAGGGAGAAAAAATCCCCAGCAGGCTCTGTGCTGATAGCCCCAGGCAAGGGTTCAGTTGCATAAACTGAGATCATGACCTGAGCCAAAATCAAGAGTTGGATGCTCAACCAACTGAGCCACCCAGGCACCTTGACAATATTCATTTTTTACTTCTCATATGATTTAACTTAATCTGTCCAATTTTTTGCCTTCTAAGAGTAGGATTTGTGACTAAATTGACTTTAAAAACCTATTCAAATGCTATTTAAACTTATTAAAAGTAGAGTGTTGTCACTGATCAATATACTTTTAGGAAGGAGATTTTTTGGAATTATCTGCAAAGTCCAAGGTGCATTATTTTGTATGTCCCTAAATCTTTGCATTTAAGAATAGATTTTATTTCCTTTGGGGGCAAAAAGACATCCTGAAGTCATTTAGAATAGAGTTAAAGGCAACCAACTTGGATAATGCCGTATTTGGCTAAAAATAAAGGATAATTAATAAAGTAACAGAAAATGATTGTGAAGGCGGTTGAAAAGAGGCTTTCCTAGAAATGTTTTGGGCAACAGCAGCGATGACTTTGAAGTACATACCTGTAAATGTATATTTATTTTTTAAACATCTCATTTTTTAGTCACATCTCTCTCCGTACCTGAATCATGCCATGTCATCCCATAATATCTACTGGGTATTCTTCAAAGTGTTTCAGAAAACCATTTTAGCATAACACTTAGTATTGGTGTTCTACGCCATTAAATTGCCTGACTCAGGAGGAATCTGTAGATATACTGACTTATCCATGTGTTGTGTACCAAGGAACTCCCTTTAACGCAGTTCAACTTCAGTTTGTGATAGTGGTGTTTTTCATGTGTGTGATCGGTTTCCTTTTAGCCTTGTTTCATTTTAACTGCGTGAACTTCTTTTTTGTTAACAAATTGTTTGATCATCCCCTCTGGAATATGTCTTTTTAAAATTCTAACAATTTAAATGAATTTTAAGGTGATAAAAATAATTTCAAACCTCTTAAACTTTCTCTTCAGTGACACTGCCTTACTAGAAGAGGAATTGAAGAAACTCATTGAAGCTTTGATTGAGAATTTTCTTGAGCCCAGTAAAAATGGACTGATCTGGCGTTCTGTTTAGTGCACACCAGCACATCATTATTTTGCACTGGCACATGGAACAGAACAACAAAGAACTCCATGTGTTGACGTCATGTTAGCATTCTCTCTTTATCTCCTCTGGCCAAGTATCCTTTTACTTTTATTTTCTTTCTTTTGGTTGGCTGACTAACCAAGCATATCAGTTCAAAATGCAATGGTCTAGAGAGAAATGATTGAACAAAAGTCATTGCATTAAAAGTATTATAGTGACATGTTGTTCTTCCTTTAACAGAAAAAAATACATAAGTGAGTTTTCTTATTTAAGTGTGATTAAGCTTAGTTCCATATTATAATTGTGTAGAGCACGGTTTAAAAAAAAAAAAGGCAGATAAATGTTATATAATTGTAGAGTTAGTTAAGGAAATTAATCTATAAAATTGACAAGAAAATGGCATTGCTCCCAGAATATTGCGGGAAAGTGTCATTGTTGTGTCACAGGTATTAACTTACAAAGTAGAGTATTTGAAATATAGGGTATTTGCATTTCTAGCTTAGAACCGATGTTACAATATGTGGTTCAGCTTCTCTGTTTCAGGTGCTCTTGATGTAGTGTAAACTTATTGTATGTATTCAAAATTCTGACGTTTACTGAACGTAAAACAGTAGTGGCAGTGCTCCTAGTGGTTTCGTTCTTGTCAGATTTCTTAGTGCCTTCTCAGGGTATGGTATGAATTAAAACAGTGTTCCTGCATCGAATATAATTTAATCAGCCAATTTTCAGACAATTAAGGAAAATCTTCCAAACTGTGTAGGTGCTTCCCCTCTATAGCAAATAAATTTGCCCTTTAAAAAATATTATGAATGTAAATAAAAATCCTAATAAAAGCAAACTCAGTGTAACCATACTGAAAGATCTTCGTGTTAGAATTCAGTGTTAGTAATCACAGCCTTCAAGTAAAGAAAAAAATCTGAACTGAGAAAGGAGCTCTGAATTTATTTAAAAGTCTGACTTTGAAATTACATTTTTATAAGTAGATTTATTCCCTTATCAGATGAAATAATGCTAATTTTACTAAGAAATAAAATATCCAGATTTTAGGTGTTACAAAACACTAAAACTACATGTTTTAAAACTAAAGTCCAGTTGTTCTAACATCTTGCTGGCTACTGTAGAAATTCTGACCTCAAGAGTACTAGTTATCTTTATCTTTATCGATGTGGAAAAAAATTTTGGAAGGTCACTTTGGTTGATTCCCCAGACTTCTAAAAAGTCTTAATAGAGAAATACTATTTAATCTTCTTAAAGTGTATCCTGTCCTATATAACTCAGAGAATACTTAAACACATGTGCTATAATTAAGAGGTAAGAATCACAAGGCCTTGGGTGTAATTATACTAAACAAATTGCTACTGGGATATAACTGGTATTAGAGAATTTATTTCCTAAAAAAAATAATAATAATATAAATTTTAAACTGATTAGAGTATTTATTAAATAACGGTTTGGTTTATTGCAGCTATAAGCTAACATTTGGTTGAACCCATAGAGTCCAAGTATAATTTTCAAACTATTGTATTGCCACTATTGTTAATTTGTTCCTCCCTTTCTTATAGCTAGATCTCATATTACTGTAGATAATAGCTCACTAAGGGAGCACCATATTTCTGAATGACATTGTTTTCAAAGGCTTTGCACTAAAAAAGAAATGTGTAGACTTTTTTGCTTTATTTGTTTTAAGGAATGTAGAATGTAACTAAGGAGATGGCCTATATTCTGCCAAGTATTATAAATAATGCTATATCTATGAAAAATATGTATATTTGGCTTTAGTGTCTGTGTTTCAGTGACTAAAGAGCAAAGTGGAGCTAAAATGATATAACCCACTCATAATCACTAAAGCCATGTCATGATTATCATTCTCTTATAAAGAGAACAGTTTGAGTGCTTTAATATAATGCAGTGTTTAAGTCTTCTTAATCAAGGTGAAAAGTTACGAAAGCTTAGGTTACCTCAAAAATTTAAAAATCCAAAGTTAAAATTAACAAAATTTTACAAATATTCATGAAGTGCATAGGTTGAGGGAATTAATTAGATTCTAGCAAAGCTCTCAAGCCTATATTAGCATGATATTTAACATGAACTTGACAGAGTGGGTGTGCAGTGGCCTAAAAGGATAAATTTAGTAGTCCAGGCCAACCAGGAAAGACAGAAGTGCCAGGCCAGAGGTCTCAGCCTTGGGCTCTACATTGTTTAGCTTTTTCTTTATGAATAATGTAATGAAAATGAATGTATTCTCCTTGAGTGTATAGATCAGAACTGGGCTTCTCTAGAGTTTTGGAGAAAAGGAACAAACTAGCGGGGCAAGATCAAAGAATACACTGAAAATAAGCAGTAGAAATAAGCAAACAATAGAAAGGTCAATAAGAAGGCACAGGAAATGCTTCTTGTGAAGCGCAAACTTACCTCTCAAAAAAATAGAGAATAAATTGGCTCTGGGCAAGTTGTTATGATGAGCAGCTAGTGAAGCTTTTGCATTCTTCCCTTTATTAGCAACCACTCAAAAGAGGCCAAGTTTTTTTTTTAATGTTTTATTTATTTTTGAGAGAGAGATAGAGACAGCATGAGCAGGGGAGGGTCAGAGAGAGAGGGAGCCACAGAATCTGAAACAGCCTCCAGGCTCTGAGCTAGCTGTCAGCACAGAGCCTGACGCGGGGCTCGAACCCACAAATCTTGAGATCATGACCTGAGCCAAAGTCGGATGCTTAACCGACTGAGCCACCTAGGCGCCCTGAGGCCAAGTTTTAAGAGGTGAGAAAAAGTATCTGATTCAGTTCCTGCTAGGATGTTGCGTCTTAGGATCCTATAGGAACTGGGAGGAGAGGACATAGCAGAAATAAAAAAGAATATAATACAAATTATAAAATAAGACTTGTGAGAGAGAGCTCAAAGAATTAAGAACATTTAACTCTGGAGGGGAGAAAGTTGTTGAGATAGTTTAATAAGTCTTAAGTTCTTAGTTGAATCTTTTATAAAGGGCTCAAAGCAAGAAGGAGTATGACAAATGTTCCCTATCTTCAATGAGGACACTAAAAACAAATAAGGGTCTCTTTTAAAAAATTAAATAACAAATTTATATTTTAAGGAATGTACTAAATGGATTTTAAAGGTTCTTTCCATTACTTTTATTCAGAACTCAGGTTGGAACAACGATGATGTCATAGAGAGCACTGAAAGTTACATTTGAGTTTTGCTCCTTATCTTGAAGAATTTAGCTCACAGGAGAGTTTTTGTGTATGTTGAGTTGTAGAGGCATGAGTGCAGTCTTTATTTACTGCATAAAGACCGCTCGGATATTATTTTTAGTTTAACCTGGCAAATAAGTGAGACTTGAACACCACTTTGTTCATCATGAAGACTGTATAGCATTATGGGGTATTTGAGGGTTTTGTTTTAACTGTCTTGTTATTTGGGTGTGGTAACTTCAGCAGAGAGAGAGGTTCTAAAAGACTGGATACTCTGGGTGTAACTTTATATAGGAAATAAGCCTCCTATTTCTTAAGGAGGTTGCTTCTGGAATTGATCGAATAAAGGTATTAGCTGGAGTTTAATGGAGAAATTGTTCTATGAACTATGAACTGCTGCTATTGGTATTCCTTTCAGATGTTTTCCGCTGATGTTTGTGATGCTTGAAAAATCCAAATTTTGCTTGGATAAATTTATTTTATGCCTTTTTCTCTCTACCTCCCTTTTTCCTTAGTCCCCCTCCCACATTCGTTACTGTGAAAAGCTATTGCCCTATTACCTCACTGATAAGAAATCTCAATTGTATTCATTCAGAATGCTTTAAACTTATTCATAAACTATGTCTGTTTTTTGGACTTTTGGTTATTTTGTTATTATTGTGAGAATATTTAAGACATTGTAAGAAGTAATTTTAAATCTGTTTCATAACCTTTTATGGTCTCTCTGGATACTACTATATGTTAATTTATTATAGCCTTTTATAGTTCACTTGTTTTTCTGAGATTGCTCTAGAAACTGATGAGGAAAGAGTCATACTAATCAGTTGAATGGTCAGTTGATCTGTTATTTCAGGTTTCCTTGTACTTGGGGTATCCAAAGCACAAAATTTGAGGAAATCTTTTTTCACATTTGTCCCCAAAAGCATCTTATCATAAGCCATAAGAAGTCCCAGGTGGAAAGAAGATCTTTCACTGCAGGACTTAACACAGCATGACTTTCTTTAGTTCCAGTTAGAAACAAAGTTAATGCTTTCCATACTATAACATTCATTAAATGATCTTTTCTCTTTGTTCATTCAAGACTATATACTTTAAAAAGAGGACATGTAAGAATAAGCAATGTGTCTAAGGTAGGGGCAGATGACGTATCTAAAGCTTGCTTCTCAAATTTTTCCACCAGCATAACCCTAAAGCAGGAGAGTATGAATATGTGGGGGGAAGGGGCCCAAGCACAAAATCTGAAGCAGTCTACCACTCATGAAATTCTGTGTTCCGTCTTAAAAACATAAGTTGAATTTTGCATTCTCAATAATAAAACTGTTTCAATATAAAGATAATTCCTTCAGTCTTCACGGAAACCGGTGCCACTGGAAAGGAGCACCACGCTTAGCAGATGGCCTCTCAGGTCCACCCGCCCCCCCCAACCACCACCACCCCCTTAATTGCTGCGTCCACCTGGTGGTACACACACGGACTCTGAGAAATATAGACATAGAACATATCTAGGATATTTCCTGCCTTTTAAAAGTTGAACTTTGAAAGTATTAATGCCAAATTTTAAACTGACCTGAAACAGCTCCATTACCACTGAACCTTATATAATATTGTCAGAAGTGTTGGCCAGTTTGTTTTCATTAATTCATTGGCATTCCTTGATTGAGAAGGAGCACCCAACTATCAGCTCCCTGAGAGAAGAGAGCATGTCTTATTAGTTTTTCATACCTGCCCCCCCCCCCTCAGTACAGTGCTTGTTAATAGAGTGCCTAGTTAACTGACAGTAGGAATTAAGGGATTATATTTTAAACTAATAAGCAACAATCAAAAATGTTAATTTTCTGATTCAGTGTTTTAAGCATTTCTCATTGCTGAAATTTATAATAAATCTTTATTAAGCACGCACATCCTTAAATACTCAGTTTCTTTTGAGAGAGCAGAGTATATTCCTATTTGGAAATTATATATAATGCCTAGTATTTTACACTCAAAGCAAGATGTTGGCCAAATAGGCTAAGAAAGTATCTACGTAGATTTAATATCACTGGTTATAAGTGCCATTTTGAGCCTATTAGTGCTACCTTCCAAATGAGTCACAAGTAATTTGAAACTATTGGGTATATTTTGTCCACTGTTATGATTCATC